AGCCACGTTGTCCGGAAACACACAATACGAAGCCACAGAGGAAAGTCAAGCGCACGCTGCGCGGCTGACATACAGACCTCAACCCGCTGATCGTGAGAACATCCCCCCGCCTTCTCTGTGCATCGCAACCAACATCCCACACGCGCTGGTGCCCGCATTCAGGAGACTAGGGAAAACGCAGATGCTTAATTGCATCCAACCAGCAACCCCCGTCTACCCCCCCTCCCCCAACCAGACGATCATATAAACGCTGCAATTAACTAACCATTTTTATTCTCCATGTCACTGTACCGGCCTGATGATGAATGACTGAAAATAATTGTTTGCCAATATGATTCTTCAAAGATGGAACAGACTACAACCGGTCACTACGGGCCAAAGTTAACCGCAATCAGCGCCCAAACCGGATGACCCAGACTGACTCCGGGCCGAAGCAAAGTAGAGTTGGCAATTAGCCATCACGCTATTGGGACTACTAATTTTGTTAACCACGGAATGACGCAAATTGCAGCTGCAAATTAGCGTCCGCACTAGATGACTATATAACCGTGCCAGCACTTTTGAAATGTTAGTCGTTAGTTGCACAGATTTTTAGGTGTGACGACGACCTGGGGATCCAGCGTCGAAAATTTACTGAATAAAATTTCCTCATTTTCCCAAATAACGTCTTTCCTTGAAATTTATTCATCTTATAATTCCTAAATGGATCAGTCTTTTAGGCCAGAACGGCTACATGTGGATTCAACTGCTTCAGAAGCCTCCAAACAATGGAAACACTGGCTCCGCAGGTTTGAAAATTTCATTATCACGACCGAAAGTTTGCAACCAAACAAATTCAGCATTCTGACTAATTATATTTCTTCGACAGTTAAGAGATGTGTTAGTGACCGCTCCAGTTGTAAGGAACCTACTGTGAGATCTCTACTAATTGACCTTTGATTAAACCAGATTCGGTATAAACTAGTGGAGCAGGAGACTACATTTTGAAAGTAATTCTGTTAAGGCAAGGGCAGTGGAATGAACAAAAAGACAGTTTCTATCTTACCAAAACGCTCCGACTGCTCGATTCTCTACCGCTACCAAAGTGTGCTAAACTCAATCCAGTTCTGCCAAAACATCTGACAGAATAGTCTACAGTCGATCGTACAACAAGAGTTTCTTTCGGGGATACGACTAACATCCTCTTTCAAAATGTCCTACATGCCATGTGCTATGCAAACGATGGGGTAAAAAGGGACCCTTCAAAAAAGTTTGACTGGCATTACGGAACCAACAAGTCCTCTTCCCTACGCATCCGATCATGTACGCAGTAGCATCTTTCACTGATTCTAACGGTCAGCGATTTAAATACAGATAAACGGGACTAATTTTCAGACCTTTATAGACCCAGGCAGTTCTGAGACTTGCCTTCCGTTTTGATTAATACTCCTAAATAATCGGAAGATTCAGAATTCTCGCATTAAGATATCCATGGCCACTACGCTCCAATCAGTGTTAGGCAAGGACATTTTCTTCTCTGAAGTAAACAAAAACGTATCCCTTAAAAGTATGTCCACCTATCGGTCTTGCCGGATTTATGCGCTAATTCCTTGGTGAACCTTAGCCTACGTTCTCGTCGCGTTCTTTGGCTTCCGCTTCGGTCGTGATTCCTCGTCTGTTTTCTAATCTAAGGCAGGAGTGCACGCCTATCAGACTAAAATCTGATAGTCAGACTGACGTTATGATATATTTATTCGAGAAGAGATACGTCATCCTCCGCCTAAAGGAGTAACTGAGCCTACGCTATCCTCTCGGCGAACCCAAGTCCTCGTGGTACCAATGAAAACCATAGAAGCGAATGACTGCTAATCATATCCAACATACTCAATATTACAATCCCATCTAGGTAATCCCCTTTAAACTAGAATATGTTTCTACTCCTCTTCACACTGTAATAATACCTGGCCCAGGAAGGGGGGGGAGGACGAGTGCGGTAGACGCTGTGCAAGTCTACTATCATTGTAAAGTAATTCATGTACATGTCCCCGTTCCTGTACCCATCGTACTATGGGGCACACGGTGGACCTCGCCAGACTCGACGGTCGGACTGCGGTTTCGTCAGGAGGGACTGTGTGCTGACTTCACGACTCAGTGATTTGGGGGTGGAAAGACCGATGAGATGTGGTAGTGCGCCGGTGTAATGTGTACCAAACCCAATACAGTGGGCACTGGATTACTAAGCCTCGAAAAACTTGGTGACATTTCAACTGAAGCAGCAAGAAAGGATCGTGTCACCAGAAAATATTTTTCTGTTCGGCAAGGTTAGCTACAAAGCACCAAACTGTACATGCAATCTCACAGTAGCGAAGATGTGTTCGCATTAATATTCGATACAGGCCTATTTCATTTCTGAGGACAGCACTGACATGAGTCAGCGATCCCACACCCAATGCTCAACAAGATAATGTTTACCAAATCCGATGTGCTTAAATAAGAAATACCAATTGATGATTTGTCAAGTCTGGAGTATACACCAGGCACGCGAAAGCTTTACTGCTGAGAAAACTGAATTAGTCACCCCTGTCGCAAAATTCACGAGTTTTACTAGCGACCTACAAATTGTCATTTGCATTTTCTGATCCCAGTGGCAAAAATATAAGGAACATATAATAAATGAAACGGTCAGATGAGTGGTGCTATTAACCGAAACCATCGGATTCTGACAGTGCACATAAGTAGACAGAAATTACCTCTCCTCCTCTTACGCGATCTGCATCGTCCCCGGGTGTCACTCTGCTTTATCGATTGGAAGTCTCTGGTGAATCGGAAGGAATAATTTGGGTTAGACAAATGTCTTGTGTAAGTCACATAGTCGACAAATATATATATATATATATATATATGCATTGCTGATGGAAGCGAAAATGCGCGTTTCTGGACATAAGTAAGAAGGTTAGGCGATCACGGGAACCGTGGATTTATTGTCCGGTTGTTTCAAAGTAAAAAAGGCTTCCATCTTCGGAGGTGGGTTATGCACTGAGCCTTACGGTATTTATTGGGTGTTGTTGGTTTGGCTCGTTGATAACCTTAAGGTCGCCTGTCCACGCTGCACCGCGGAGTTGGCGATTGTTGTCATGACGGACTGAGACTGTTCTCCCTATTATCGTCGGGTGGTGCGGCTTTGGGATGACAACGGTCATTCATCGTGCTCGATTCTGTGTTTTTTTAATGTTTATCCTTTGCGTATGTCGCCTTGAGGCGCGTTCGCAACTGGCAACGAACGGTGATTGCCATGTTTACGTTTCACGTCTCGGTGGCTGCTGGACTTGCGATCCCGATCCCGGTCGTTCATTTCCCGCGGGTGCTCCCGTTCACCTGTGTTTCAGATCTTATAGGTGGTCGGCCGTTGGACGTAAATCCAGATGGCGACCACAACTTCAGGAGACTACTTACCGAATCTGTACGCGGGTGAACGGGAGTACCCGTGGAGAATGAACGGCGGTGACTAGTATCCTCAGCCTGGCAGCAACCGAGATGTAACCGCTTATTCCTCCCCGCTTTACCACTTTGTTCTTTAGACTGTTTCGATCTACGTTGAGCAGACTGTGGTGCCAAATCTTAAATTTCTTTTTTCCTCAAACCAATCGTTTACTAACAATTATAGAACTCATAAGACCCACTTGTAAAAAAAACTGGGCAGCCTCAGTGGGGTTCGAAATCACAACAGCAAGAGCAAGGCTTGGGTACAACCAAAGCTCTAATCACCTGAGCTACGAGGACCCGACAAAAACGCCTAGTTTAATTACACTGTAGGCGGATAATTTGACCCAAATGCGATTAAACTCATTATTCTCTTTCCGGGTCTTCTAGCTCAATTATTTAGAGCGTTGGTCGCCAAAAAACATAAATTATACAATGCATAACCAGTAAAGTTACTGGAACAGGATGTTCTCGTTGCTCCTCCAATTTCCATGCACGTGATCCAGTTGAATAGCAGGAACATCGAAGTAAGAAAGTTGGTGTGTTACTAGTTGAACGATTAATAGCAAGGATTGGTTGTTATTTCGGTTAGAGAGACACTTGGAAATTGATTATGACATCAGGCCATGGCCAATTTTACCCTCCGCCCGCCACGACCTCGGCGTTATCAAGTAGAAAGTGTGATCAAATAGATCTTTTGGAAGGGAGCAGTGCCAACCTTGAGGACATGCTCTGTGTATCAGAGCCCGAATCCGATAGACTGTTCACCAAAGAAGAGGAGGAAGACAGAGAAGAGGATGAGGAGGGGGAAGATGTTGAAAGGGCGGTTGCGGTATCTCGGCCGCCGACGAGACTACTGCCCGTAGATATAGAACTGTCGCTCCTGCCATGACAACGGCGTTGACTTCCTTTCCGACTTCCCCTGGCACTACCGGCAGAAGAAACGATGGCGGTAGGAAGGCCAAGACCCTCTGAGGCCTCTCGATCACCACTGCCGCTGACGTAGGACACTTCGGAGACTTCAATTCGGAAGTTCATCGCGGGTTTAAATACCTTCAGTTGGTCGACGAAGGCGAGGACTTTCGGGGAGGCCATTTCTCTCATCTCAGCCAGGGTCATGCAGCTACAAAAAGAGGAGGAGGAAAGGAAAAACAGACATGTTTGTTGACTGCCAAGAAGCGATCACCTCTCTGAGTTGCGCAAGGATACTGAAGGGACGGCACTGATTTTCGCAAAAGGCCACTCGCAGTATGCAGCAGACCTTATGAAACATGCGTTTGAATATAAAATACCGTTTGGATCATACTGTGGAACAGGGGCATAAAGCGTAATTTTATGTTAGTTTACGCAGTGTGGTATGCAGACTTTTTGGAGAAAAACGGCCTATTCGTCTGTGTCCACAGTACGTGCTCCTCCACA